ACGTCCACTTCTATTATAAATGTATTTATCTCTGAAAAAGATTGATTCGTCGCATTTCTGGAATCGACCGTTCTGTTAGATGTAGCTTTAAGAAATTAACAAATTTAATGTTGCCTTGTATTTATATACTAAAGATTTGCGTTTTTTACTTATTATAATCTTAACAAATTAGAGACAACCAAGTTTATAATGTTAATACGAGAATTAAAAATAATTTATATATAATATAAAATGTTCTGAAGGCAATGCCTTGTATAAATCCCCATTGGTGAATGAGCAAAGAATCTACTATAAATTGCCCCTAGAATGTAGGTATGAATTCTTTTAAAAAATAATTTAAAATATATTTAATTGAAAAAAAAAAACATTCGATTGAAGAGTGGATATACCAAACTCTCTTTGTGGAACATCAGTGGTAAACTTAGGGTTTAACGATAAACCAAATAATATATAAACAATAACGATTTAAGAAGTTTTTTTTTCTAAAGATGCAAGTAATTTACGGATTCCCAAAGTTACCTTCGTTTCTTTTAGATTCAGTAAAACTAGTTGGATGTCACGTATGTGGAATTACGTCCCCTTATCCACTGTCTCGTAACCGGACACACGGTACATATTGCCAAAAAAAATTGTTTGGAATATGTCAAATCAAATCGTGGCCTGTGACAGACATTATATGATTTTATACAATCAAAATAAATAAATTTTCAACAAATGGTTGATTCTTTGGCCGTGTAGTCGATCTCTCGAAATTAGGTTGTTAACCATAGAAGAAAAAAAAATGAAAACAACGCAACCAACCTTGCTTTCTGCATCGTTGCGTACAAGGTATTACAAATAGCTACATTTAAAAGCATTAACTACAGTTAGTTTTATTGTCGACGGAATCGTAAATTTGTTCGTTGGATGTCAAAAAAGACTACGCTTGTCCGATAATTATTGCATTAGAATGTATTTAAAACGTGAAAGGCGCGCTAATTTTTGTTTATTAGAAAAAACATTATTTTTTCTTAAGTGCCAATCAAAATGAGTATACAGTGAGCACCATAAGTCTTACCCCCCCTATCTAACTCGTTACTGAAGTCTTGTTAGGAAAATCGCCGAGACACGTCGATTTTTGATTTTTACCATGTACATTTTTGTATAAATAGTTTACCCTTAATTTCATCCCTTACTGAAGGGGAGCAACCCTTTCGAAAAATTTAAATGGCATGGGGTGGTAAGTGATAGCTCATTTGAAAGAGGGTTTTATTCTCTATTCAACCGTATAAAAAAATTTGAAATTTGCTTTATTAATTCTCGACTAATTGTTGTTTCAGAATAACCGAAATTAACGTAGCGCACTCATCCTTAGAATTAAAATTCGGCCCTGCATGATTTCGGTTTCGGTTCAGACGTGAAGTAAGACTTTTTGCCATTAGAAGGTCACTGTTAGTCTAATTGCTTTCCTATTTTGTGAGGTTTTGTTATTTTTAAACATGAATAAATCAACACGTAATGAAGCAAATTTCAAATTTTTTTGCACGGTTGAATAGAGAATAAAACCCCCTTTCAAATGAGCTATCACTCACCACCCCATGCAATTTAAATTTTTCGAAAGGGTTGCTACCCTCCAGTAAGGGATGAAATTAAGGGTAAACTAATCTTGCAAAAATGTACATTGTCGAAATCAAAAATCGACCTGTCTCGGCGATTTTCCTAACAAGACCCCAGTAACGAGTTAGTTAGGGGGGGTAAGACTTATGATGCTCACTATATACTGTTTAACACTCTTTGTAGAACAATGTTATTATCTTTAAAGTACAATAGTATGCATATTTTATTCTTAATAAATCTTTCATTTATCAAAACAAGTTAGGTACCTTTGAATTTCAATGATATTACGTATACAGGGTGTTAAAAAAAAAGTGCCACAAAATGAAATGGTGAATAGTATGACCCAAAATAAGCAGAAAAGTCTTAATAAATATATGACCGCAAATTAACGGTTTCGGAGATACGGACCATTTTGTGTTTATAACAATTTTTTATTATTATAAAAAAACAATGATATTTATAAACAATCAATAACAACATAGAGTTAAATGAGATGTTCAAATACTGACGTAGCGCTTCCCTCGCATTGCCATTTGCACGAATGTACATTAAATGCATTTCAGCTAATTCAATATTAGTGTAAACAGGCATAACGAAAATTTATAAAATTATTCACCCACAACAAAATAATAACTGCAAATAGTATCTATGAAAAAACATCGGTAGACTCCGATAAGAAAAGCAAGTTTTTGAGAATGAAAAAAGAATCAAAAAATGATACAAAACACAAAACACTCCGTATCTCTGAAACCATTCATTTGCGGACATATGTTTATTAAGACTTTTCTGCATATTTTGGCCCATACTACCCCCCGTTTTATTTTGTGACACTTTTTTTTAACACCCTGTATATGTTTCAAAATTTTTCACTAAATACTTTTAGAGTACTAGTAGAATATGAATTGAATTCTTTATGTACTTGAATTTGCAAACAATATGGTGAAAGTATCTATTTTATTTTCTACCTCTCTTAAGCCAGCAGGACCAACTGGGCAGAATCGATTAAAATCTATTACATTATTTAGTACCTATTTTGTACTAATTTCTACCACCAATAAAAATTTTGTACCATGTGCCGTTTTCAAAAAAAAACGTGGCGCTGCTAGGTTAATATTAAGCTAGCAGGACCACATTAAAAAAATAAAATAAAAAATAAAACAAAGGTAGAATTAAAACGAACTGAATTTGTACCAATTTATACCACCAATCAATTTTTTGTACTATGTACGGTTTATAAAAAAACACATGGTGCTTCTAGTTTAATATTAAGCTAGCAGGACCACATTAAAAAAATAAAATAAAAATGAAACAGAAGTAGAATTAAAAAGAACTAAATTTGTACCAATTTGTACCACCAATAAATTTTTCGTACTATGTACCGTTTACAAAAAAACAAAAGGTGCTTCTAGTTCAATATTAGGCTAGCAGGACCACATTGAAAAATACAAAGGTACAATTAAAAAGGACTGATTTTGTAACAATATGTACCATTAAAGAAACCTAATTTAAGCAGAATCAATAGTTACTCCTTTAATAAAAGTAACATAACTTGTACCACTAAAATATGAAATTTCAGATTTTGTACCCCTGCCGTTCCTATAGAAATTAACATAAATTCATATTAGGCTCAAGAGTAAAGTACCCCTTTGCACGAGCAGAATCAATAGTTACTTTTACAATGAAAGTAACATAATTTGTACCACTAAAATATGAAATTTCAAATTTTGTACCCCTGCCGTTCCTATAGAAAGGGTACTTTACTCTTGAGCCTAATATGAGTTTAGGTTAGTTTCTATAGGAACGGCAGGGGTACAAAATCTGAAATTTCATATTTTAGTGGTACAAGTTATGTTACTTTCATTGCAAAAGTAACTATTGATTTTGCTTGTGCAAAAGGGTACTTTACTCTTGAGCCTAATATGAATTTAGGTTAATTTTTATAGGAACGGCAGGGGTACAAAATCTGAAATTTCGTATTTTAGTGGTAAAAATTATGTTACTTTCATTGCAGCAGTAACTACTGATTCTGCTCGTGCAAAAGGGTACTTTGCTCTTAAGTTTAATATGAATTTAGGTTAGTTTCTATAGGAACGGCAAGGGTACAGAATCTAACAATTTACATTTTAACGTACTTCTATTGCAGAAGTAACGATTGATTTTGCTGTTTAAAAGGAATATGAATTTAGGATAGTTTCTAAGGAACGGCAGGGGTGCATATTCCGAAAATTTATATTTTAACGGTACAAATTATGTTGTGTTTTATGCAAAAATTGTAATAGATTCTTTTTCTGGAATAAGTCTCTTTATTTTTAATTATAACAGATTCGGATTAATTTGAAAGTTGTTTCAAGCAGTTTGATTAAATAAATTAAGTTTTTTAATGGTACATATTGGTACAAAATCAGTCCTTTTTAATTGTACCTTTCTATTTTTCATTGTGGTCCTACTAGCCTAATATTGAACTAGAAGCACCTTGTGTTTTTTTGTAAACGGTACATAGTATGAAAACTTTATTGGTGGTACAAATTGGTACAAATTTAGTTATTTTTAATTCTACTTTTGTTTTATTTTTTATTTTATTTTTTTAATGTGATCCTGGTAGCTTAATATTAAACTAGAAGCACCATGTGTTTTTTTTATAAACCGTACATAGTACAAAAAATTGATTAGTGGTACAAATTGGTACAAATTCAGTTCGTTTTAATTCTACCTTTGTTTTATTTTATTTTTTTAATGTGGTCCTGCTAGCTTAATATTAAACTAGAAGCACCATGTGTTTTTTTATAAACCGTACATGGTACAAAAAATTGATTAGTGGTACAAATTGGTACAAATTCAGTTCGTTTTAATTCTACCTTTGTTTTATTTTTTTTTTATTTTTTTAATGTGGTCCTGCTAGCTTAATATTTACCTAGCAGCGCCACGTTTTTTTTTTGAAAACGGCACATGGTACAAAATTTTTATTGGCGGTACAAATTAGTACAAAATAGGTACTAAATAATGTAATAGATTTTAATCGATTCTGCAATAAAGAGGTTAATTTTCTCTATTTATTGTTTCAAATTATAGTAAGTAATATGGACAACAATTGTCTACTCGTGTCTCAATTTATTTATGATGATTTTGTGTTTTATAAAACAATCAAGGTCAAATCCTCCACGATTGTGCTTTGCAGCAGCTCCAGCCGCCGTATAAGCCGGAATTAGCTCCATTTAACTTCGTTTAATTTAGATATTTGAAAAAGTAGCTCAGTGCACGTAACTATCAGTTTGTAACCGATATTTGAATAGAACGTTTACTAGCTTCTCCAATGACCTTACTATAATTCAAAACATTGTTTGCATAACCTCCGAATGTATCTAAAGCATAACTATTAAATATTAAATTATAAATATTATCTCTAGACAAAATACGGTAATACTGCTAACAAGTTGCAATTATTAAATGCAGACCTGTTAATTATAAAAATATACATAAAACAAAAATTGTAAGTAAGCAAACTCAGGCCATTAGCTTTTGAATTAAATTCGATTCATTCTATACCATTTGCAAACACAAAAAACATATTTTTCTACTACCGTGCGTAAAGTACGTACTTTACGCATTCCACGAAGTGTGTAAAGTTGTACTTTTTTTCACTAGTGCGTAAAGTAAAACTCTTTACGCACTAGTTAAAAAAAGTAAAATTTGACAAAATTTGTACATAACAAAATAAATTATTTTTGCTTATATCTATTTAGTGTCCAACAAATTATCAACAGTTTATTTTAATTATAATTTTCTCTAAATGTCATCGATTTAATTAAAAGTAAACATACAGTGGATGTCGATTTTGGTAAAAGTAAGTTGGCCGTGGCTGTGTGGATTAGAAGAACTGTCAATCTCTAAACTTTTAATTAGTACCTACCTTATAACAGAACACGACAAAAGTATACTTAAGTTCAAGATTAGATTCTAAAGCCAATTTAGCATTTTTTAAAACTCAATCAAGTTTGAGAAGGTAAAAAGTTTTACTTTTTAATGTTTGTTTACTTAAATTCAAATTTTATTTGCAGTTTATTATATCTGTCATAATCGATATGGATTCAAATTTATCTGGCGATAGCGAATTTGATAATACTCCCCCATATATCTTATGCAGTGCACAAAAGGCCACTGAAAATTTATTGCCAGAAAAATCTGCATATATTTATCAGCAAAAATACAATGCATTTATAGAATGGTGTAGGAAGAATAAGGTGACAAAATATTCGGAAAACGTTATTTATTTATTAGGTGGTCATTTTTATATTTTATGGAATATATCTGTTATTTACGTTTGGGGAAGAAAATTCTTCAAATAAAAGTTACTTCTTATATAATTCTCTATAATTTTTATTATATACATAATTTCTCTAAAATGGACCGTATTCGAGATATTTGAGAAAATGTGTAAATTTCTAAATTTTTCAAAAACGGATAAAGAAAAAACATTAAATTTTAAACTTAAGTTTTATTTCGGCCTGACGTGAAATGATTAGATTTTGGACATAGTCGGAACATCTGGGGGGGGGGGGTACTTTATGGGGGCCGTTTTTATATTTTATGGAATATATGTTATTTATGTTTGGAGAAAAAAATTGTTCAAATAAAAGTTATTTCTAATATTATTATCTATAATTTTTGCTTTATGTCAAAATTTCCTGAAATGGTCCGTATTCGAGAAATTTGACAAAATGTGCAAAATTCTGATTTTTATGAAAATTGTTGAAATAAAAGTTGTTTGCGATATCGATCTCTATAATTTTTGTTTATACATGATTTTCTAAAATGGACCGTAATGGAAAAATTGTAGGAAAAGTGCTAAATTTAAATTTTTCAGTATTTTCATTTTCAATGAATATCTATAGAAAAATGTTTCGAGGTAGATGTATGTGGAAAATGAATATATTTATTTTATCCTCTGAACATTTACGGAGGTGCTGCAATAGGTTGTACAAAATAACCGGAAAAAGCCTGTAATAACTAGATAGGAAAGTCATGTGTTGGACACATCAGATTTTTTTAAATATTTCTTCATTTGTTAGTCATTTTGTTCTGTAAGAATTATAAATTTGTAAAGTTCCAATAAATTTATTTTTGTTGCTGTGTACAATTTTTGGCACAATTTACTTTTATTCACTAGTGCGTAAAGTAAAGTACTTTTTTTCACTAGTGAAAAAAAAGTAACTTTTATATTTCTAATATTAGTGGATTATGTGTACGGTAGTAGAAAAAATATTGTATGCCACTCGTGTGTAAAGTCCATTTTTTGACTCATGTGACTCATTCGTCAAAAAAGGGTAACTTTACACACTTGTTGCATAAATAACTATTTTTTGCTGTTGGATAAATAGGAAGGAACAGACAACAGATTGAAAAAGCGGATAAACTAGCTATGGTAACGATTTGCAGTTGTTATATTTATTTATGTGTCGCGTCACTTTGAAACTAAAAAATGGCCCTGTGTTGCAAATTATACAGTAAAAACTTGTAACATTAAAAAAATAGCAGTTGAAAATATAGGAGTGCAAGATGCATCATTCAATTTTTAACAGATCGTGTTCAGTATATTGATATGATAAGTATAATACATAGAAACTAAATACATGTATTTTATCGACTTATCGAGGTTTCTGTTGGTATCCCTCAGCAGGGTCCCCGCTACCATATGTGCAAAGTGTGCAATGCACACGGGCGCCATCCTTTGGGGGCGCCAAAACCCAGGGTCCAAAAAATTGGCCAAAAAAAAAAATAAAAAAAAAAATTAATTTTAAAATAAAAGTTGAGAAATTAAACAGGATTAGGTATAAATACACACGAAATTTTATCCAGTTACTGCCGATTCCTATGTTGCGAGAACATGTCAGGCGGTAGTTTCTTGATTTTTCCTGTTCACTCATGAATAATGCCTGGAGCGCTATAAAAGTGATGCATCGCCAGAGGCGTTTTTAAACCGGTTAGTTCATTGGACCGTGCAACAAGTGCATAAAAACAAGTAATTCTATTAATTTTTACATAAAGTTATTTTGTATTTTGTCAAGTGTTGTGTTGTGTAATATTTTTTTGTCTAAAAAATCAGGTCAGAGGAAGGTCAGAGGAAGGGCTGAGAGGCCAATGTACTACTGCACTTTGTGATTGGTTTAGAAATAATTCTTTCACGGACTGGTGGCATGAATGAAAAAGGAAATAAAAAATATCTTTAAAATGATTTGTTAATTAAACATACTTTCTAATTAAAAAAAAGAGGGTTGCTGCTGGGTTCAATTTACGTATAATTAAAAGTTATTTTTTATTTGTACTGGTTGGTTTTGTAATGGAAACAGTATGAAAAATCGACTTAAAAATTAATTGTTTTAAATATCAACACCACAGAATAATATTTGCATCTTGTATCAAGATTATTGTGACATATGACTTTAGGTTTTTATTTTCTTTATTTTAGGAATATATTTATTATCCAAGCTTATTTGAAGTATTAACGATTAGGGTTAACGTCGAATTCAAACGAGGCAATTTAACCATTTCAATCTCCCCCTTTCAGAAACTGGTACGGTCGAACACGTGTTCGTGCAAAAAATAAACTATTCAAGATAGAAATAATTCTAGAAATTGACCCCTCTCGTCGTAATTCCATGAATGGCTCCTTCATTCGTCTACGGGCATTTCTAAATGGGTTTGATTTTCTTTTCAGAGCCTGCATAATGGAACAAAAAGCGAATAGTTTTAGTCAATGGTGGTGATTTCTATTTAATTACGTCAATTTGAATTTATTATTTATTACTTAAATATGTTTTTTTTGTTTAGTTTCGAACAATTTAGGGAAAAAAGTTCCACACGTGAATTTTATACAATTAGAAAAACCTTGAAAATATAGAACGATAAATTATTAAATATCAGTATTATAATTTTATTGTATACTCTGTTTAGTTCTTAATTAAATAAAGTGGACTGTATATTTGAGTCGTTTCATATCAAATCAACCAGAGTTTTGGCATAAATTTTAATAAAATTTGGTACACTGATTCTTTAGGGCATTTTTTCTACGCCCAATCCGAAATCAGGTAAACCATTTTAAATGATACTTTTACACTAGTTAGAGAATTTTATTTGAGACACGATATAAGCCCAATGATGCCAGGAAAAAAGAACTGTGTAGTCATTAAAAAAGAAGACCACAAAGAATATGTGAAATAAAATTGCTTTTATCCAACTTTAAAGAAGTTTATGCTTTGTTTAAAAAGGGAGTACCCAGAAATAATTTTTTTTTAAAAAATCAAAAATGTTTTTTTTCAAAATTAAAAAAAAAATTAAAATAAAATAGGTCATGTGACACATCGTTGGAAAGGTGTTTGAATTACATCTACAACGAGCTATAACTTATTATTCAAATTATTCAAATTTTTGTGAAGTTGTGTTGGACCAAAATTGGTAAATTTTTCGATTTTTAAAAATAAATAAAAAAACCCATGTACCAAATTTTATCAAAATCGTTGAAATGGTCTGCCATACCTCTTTTTATTTTGGTTGATTTGATATAAAATGACCCTGTAGTACTTTTTTAGTATTCTTGAAAAGAGGACAAAATAAGCTTTTCTCTGATATATCACTCGACCTGCGTTGCCATTTAAAAAAAATCAAGATGGCGGCTATACGCTAAACGTTGTCGTCAATTAAATTTGACATGTCCTCTAATAATTGCAGAATACAATCCCAATTCATCATCCTACAATTTTATAATTATAAATTCATTCGTTTCAAAGAAAAATACCTTGTTGCCAGATTGTTTCTCTACCCTGTTTACGTTTTTTTCCACTATCCCCTCCCCACTTCACCCTTACGTCCAAATATTTAATAGCAACATGTATATTCCATAATGATTACGAAAGAGCATACTAACGTTGCAAGTTACATAGGATACTTTTTGAGATATTTTAATTTAAAATTTGGATTTACTACGAAAACTCAAGCTATCTGTGGATGAATTATGCACTGTCTTTACTCCAAAAGTTCAAGAGTTCAACTTTTACACCATCCGTTTTATAGGAACTTATTTTCATATTTTGACACACGAATCAGATTTTAAATGTTCGTGCAAACTTAACCAATCACCCTGTAACTAGTTTGTGTCGCTTGTAGCACCGAAAGGATCAGTTCTTGGACCAGTACTATTTATAATTTATATGAACGTTCTTTTTGATTATATCAATTATATTTTGCTGCCAATGCAACTTCTAATTCCAATGAAGAGTTTTACTTAATTTAAATTGTATGTCAATTTATTATCTTGGTATTTTATTTGCATTTTACTTATATTTTATTCGTATTATATTTTATTTGTGTTTTATTATTATTTTATGTAAGATTTTATCCATATGCCTATATTTTAATATATTGCACACTCATGTGAACCAGGACGTGCCGCAAATATTGTACAAATGTAACGTAGTTAATATCTATCTATACCACCGCTAAAATTGCAATCCGTTGGGCACCACACCGTCTAACCTTTTCTATAATTACGTCAATTGCTGGCAATCAAATGTAGAAGTACACACCATTGTTTCTATAGTCGATAATTTGGTACAGTGACGTGCGAACATTGTATTGTATTGTATTTTTTTTAATGAAAATAGACTCACTTCGGGCAGACGATTATGTTATTTTATATTTCGAGTCTAATTTTTGGCTTGAAACACTTTATTGTTACACCATGAGTCTAGTACAAATAATAATCCTTGAAATGATAAAAGACGACAAACCATAAAAGATAAAGAAGTCTAATAACAATTTTTCTTGCCGAAGTGACTTATCCAAACGCTACCTTCTCCGCAAGCTTTAATAGAATTAGAATTATGCATAATATATTCCAGGCGACAAATGTCCTCTGAACTATTGAAAGCTGACAATAGAAATAAGACAAAGCGAAGCCGTAAAATGGAGTTTTTACAACGCCCGAGCAACCGCTAACGAGATTAGAAAAGATCAAAAGGTCAGTCGTAAATATATGCACATACATATTATAATCTATATAGTTTGTCCAATGCTAGATACTCTTTTTTCGTTGAATGTTTATTGTTGGTTTTGTTACTCAAAGTACCAATAATAATTTTAAGCTTAAATAAAAAAATAATATTTCTTCACGGACTATTGAATGTAGTTAATAATAATAATAATAATAATAATAATAATAATAATTTATTATTTGCCAATAAAAGATGTACAAAAATACAAAATATAAAAAAAAACAAAAATGCACTAAATACACTAATTAGGCAAATAAAAGGTCGAGTGATAGGTCATAAGACCAATTCTACCTCACTCGCCTTGAAAAAAATAAATAAATAAAATAAAAAGTCAAAATACATATACATATCTAGATTAATTCAAAAATACAGTTAAAAGAATAATTAACTAGTGAAAGGAACCTTAATCTATATTAATAAATATTAAAAATCACAAAAAAAAACTTAAAATTTAAAATGTCTGTTCGCGTAAAAATACTTGTTTGTATTTATTTTTAAAAGCTGTTGATGAAAGACTGAAATTTGGTATATCAAGAAGATGACTGTTCAATGCAATTTGGTAGCTAAATGATTTTTTGAATATTTGTTTATTATGAGATGGAATGGTAATGGCATTCTTTTTCCTTAAATTAATATGATGGACGTCGGTTCGAAAACTTATCTTTTGATGTAAGTATGAGGGAATTTTGGTCTTAACTATTTTATAAAATAAACAGAGAATGAAGTTTCCGACGATTAAACATGTTCAGCCAATTCGCCTCTTTTAATTTATAAGAAATCCTCTCCCTTCTCCTTATGCCATAGATCATCCTTAAACAACTATTTTGTACTTTCTGAATTCGATTCTTATCAATTAATCGTAAAAAAGAACCATATACCGTGTCGCAATGATTAAAGTGCGATAAAACAAGAGAGTCGGTAAGCATTTGTTTAGTTGCAGTAGACAAATCTGTTCTATGTGGATAAATTAGTTTTAGGGAAGAGTAGGCTTTCCTAACCTTCTCGTTAATATGTTTATCGAACCTTAATTGAGAGTCAATAGTCAAACCAAGATTTTTACACGAGGAACTAATTTTTAAAATTTCATTCCCTAAGGTGATTTGTATTTGTGGCAAGATCAGCTGTCGGTTATTTTCACTGCAAAATACAATAACATAACATTTTGTTGAGTTGATATGCAATGAGTGTTTTTCAGATGCACTTACAAGAATAGAGAGATCGTCATTAATACGCCTGACCGACTCTTCAATTTTAGACAGTTCAAAAGAATAATAAATTTGTGTATCATCAGCATATAAATGGCTCTTACAATGATTTAGATGTGAATGTAGGAAGGATGTATATAAGGTGTACAGTAATGGGCCAAGAATGCTGCCCTGAGGAACACCTTTTCTGACTAACAAACAATTAGAGAAAGTGTTGTTAAGAACCACCTGTTGAACCCGGTTTGTTAGATACGAAGTTATAATTTTGATCGACAAATGGCTGAGACGAATAAAATGCAAAATTGCTAATAGAAGTTTGTGGTTTGTGTCAAATGCACGTGAATAATCAATTAGTACTAATGTGCATACTTTATTTGCATCAAGTGAGCGTAATATGTCATCTGTAACATCGGCTAAAGCGGTTGAACACCCATATTCACTTCTAAATCCTGATTGGGTTTTGGGAAGAATATCGAATTTTTTTATATGCAAATTTAGTTGTTTTTCTAAGAGTTTTTCAAAAATTTTCTTTTCCTTCGACGTCACCCTGACATTGCCCTCCGCACCAGCCAGAACTTGACTTCTATCAGAGGGGCACTGACACAGGAAGATATAAATGCTTGGTTTAACGGATGTATGGACGTACCTCGTTGAAAATAATATACAAGGACTTCTGGATGACCCTCGGAGAGTCTTCAGCGCGGATGAGACAGCTTTTTTCTAAATCCAAAGCCTGGGAAAGTTCTGGCAGAGAAAGGTTCCAAGACAGTCTACACGGGGATTGGTGCCGACGAAAAATTGAACCTTACAGTTCTTTTAACGGCTAATGCAGCTGGTGACCTTGCTCCACCAATGATAGTGTATCGATATGCAAGGATCCCCCTATCTATTGCAGAAGCCACGCCAAGTTCTTGGGGTATTGGCAAATTATAAAATGGCTGGATGACTCAAGAAACATTTTACGAGTATATAGCCAACATACTCGAGCCGTGGCTGACGAAGAATCAAATTCCGAGACCAGTTGTTTTTTTCCTTGACGGCCATACATCTCACTCATCTTACACCCTCTCTGAATTCTGCAAGGAAAAAGAATTCGAGCTGGTTGCCCTGTTCCCCAATGTAACACACCTCCTTCAGTCAATGGACGTTGCAGTCTTTCATACTCTGAAACGAACTTGGAGGCAAAAGGCAGCAGAGTGGAGAATGGCCAACGAAGGCAGACAAATCCAAAAGCAGGACTTCCCAGTAGTCCTACAAAAGGTACTTCAAAATTTGACATGTGCAACAATTCAGAGTGGATTCCGAGCTTGTGGTCTTTTACCGTGGGACCCAACGAAGGTAAAAATAAAAAAGGGGATTGAGCTCACGCCGGAAAATATATCTGTGGAAGCTGGACAAACAAAATTAAAGGTGTTTTTGGAGGTTCTTCGACAAGAAATGAGTACTGAGGCTTAAGAAGAATTTGAAATCTGCAGTTTTGGAGAATGGAATGGTCACATTAAGAAGACAGAGCTTTTCAAAATCTGGAAAAGTGTATCTGTCAAAGTGTCTGGATTAAGGCCTATTTCACCTAAGCCATCAACTTCAGCTGCCTTTGCAAAAGTGTCTGAAGTAAGGCCTATTTCACCTAGACCATCAAGTTCCACAGCCTATGCCGAAGTATCTGAAGTAAGGCCTATTTCACCTAGACCATCAACTTCAGCTGCCTCTGCCAAAGTGTCTGGAGTAAGACCCATTTCACCTAGTCCATTAATTTCAGTTTCAGATCCAACCGAAATTACAAATGGAACCCATGAACCTACTCCACTGAAAAAATTACCAAGTTGCGCAGTGGAACGACCAATATCTGCCCCTCCAAATATACCATCTCCGTTTAAAAGAAACCTCTTTTGGCCGAACCCGGAGGGAGTAACTCCCAAACGATTAAAAAGAGAAAGATTGCCTGCGGTTACAACATCTCCACAAGTGATGGCCTATTTTAAGAGCAAAGAGGAAAAAAAGAAAGCACTGGAGACCTAAAAAGCGAAAAGAAAAAGAAGAAAAAAAAAAGAAAATAAAGGAAAGATGTTAAAGAAAAAGGATCCTCCAATGATTATTTCATCGCCTTCATCGACAGAGGAAGGAAGTGTGCATTACTGTGAAGAGTTAGATGACTGGAACGAGTCGGAGGGGACCGATGAAGAAACAGCTTCCATCAGTGACAACTTGGAGGTGGGCAAATTTGTACTCGCAGAAGTACTTGGAGGAAAAAGGAATACTTCGCAGTACGTTTACTTGTGCACAGTCCTCGAGGTGTTTGAGGAAGAACTCAAGGTGCAAGGTTTTGTAAGTGTGGACAATATGAAAAAGTTTGTGGTACGAGAAAATGATGAATTTATTGTTCCGCTATGCCAAATAAAGGGAGTTATTTTAAACTCCCCTGAAGTGAATTGGGTCGAAAGGAAATTGACATACATTTTCAAAAAAAAACTTCCTGTTAATGAGAAAGCGTAAGATTTTCATAACTAAGAATGTATTTCTGTTTTAGTTTTTTTGTATTGTGGTTTCTTAGTCAATTAAAGTGTTAAATGTCTTTGTGACTTTTTAATATCCTAATACAGTTCATCAAATTTCTAGAGGTGTTCGACGCGCAGACAGAGAACGCGCTACGTGTGACTAAGATAGCTATTGTACAGTCTGCTAAACAAGTTATTTTAAATAGTTTTTAATATTTTTAGGTAATTAAATTTTAAAAGTGTGGAATAGTTTAGGGATTAAATTGGTCTGATTGGACTTTCTTAGAACGTTTTTAAAAGCAGCTAAAGATAGTATGTAGAATTGAAAATAATTATTATGCCATAAAAGGTGTTTTGGAATTCCTTCAACCTTTTTAAATTGAGTCAGAAAATATAAATTTTATAGGATAGCGGAAAATACCTATAATTTTTTTGTAGGCCTTTGTAAATCGTGGAAATAGTTTATATTTTATTTCTACCTTATTAAGGAAAATGGTACTAAACTATACTATTTAGAAAAAAATTTATTTCTCTTATAATTTTATAAAAAATAACAGGGGAATATTTACATTTCTTGATCTATTAAACAAAACGATAAATTATCTCGACGAATGACACCATGTTCTAGTACGGAAGCTAGCTTTACATTTTTGTTGGTGGTTTCATGGGTTTCATATCAATTTTTTGTAATTGTAGTTTACACGTACATATACCTCTTAACACTTGTTTGCTTTATTAAAAAAGTGTGTTGTTGTGATGTACGTCGAAATAAGTCAAAAACAACTTGAAACCCCATATAAAATCAAAAAGGAGAAACGGAAAAAAATTAAGCCTGTAAATGAACACAACTCAGAAACAAAAATAGCTATCTAATAATAAAAAAATAAAATTTGATTCTTGTGCAGCTTCATCTATATCATTAACTGTTTTTGGTTTTTTAATGGTTTTTCTTGGTGATGAAAATTCCGATATCTCACGGTTATCGATTCTTTTTTTCTCTCCAGAAATGCGGACGACAGTGTTTTTAGATACTCCTGTGGCTGCAGCAACACGATCATTTACATTTTTAAATGGTATTGAAGGTGAATTAAAGTTTCCTTCTCTTCTCATAAACTCTATAACATTGGCTATTATTTCGCGAGATTGACTGTTAATCACGCGGCCTCTTAATTTGCTATTAAACTCCATACTTAGGTTCTATTAAACTGTAATGAGCAAAAAACACAAACGAAAATAAAAGAAATGTTTTAGCGAAATTTACATCTGACATTTACGTCTGAATGAAATAGTGAAATACTTGATGCGCAGAGTGTACTTTCATTGCGTAAATCCGTCGGGATGCCTGTCAGTAGTGCTTTCTCTGTCTAGCCGTCGAAAGCATCTAAAAATTTGATGAACTGTACTTTGCATGGATGAGGCGTCCCATTTCTGGGTCAAATAGGGTGTCTACTTCTGAAACAAAGCTAAAAAAGGCGTCTCACTTCAGGTACACAAAAATGCTGCCACATTTCCCAGATAAAACCTAGGGTAGCAAGTTATGACTCAAACCTTTATATTTGTGTAAAATCAATGAGTATTTGACCTACAAAATGGGATTACAGTTTTTCGCATTAGTCCAGTATTAAATGTATTAAATGTATTATTAAATAGTTTTAATCCTTAAGTGTCCCGGTACTGGGGCAGTTACCTTATGTGATCAAACGACTTAAGAAGACGATACTTTATAAGAAACTGATAAAATTGAATGTAATCTAATTGTCAACAATCCCCGCCTGCATTTAAATGTAAATAACAATCCATTGACGCATTCAAGGCCGTTCGCGAAGAAAAAAGAAGGTTTATCGATAAAAACGTTATAATCTCTCATTATTTACAAAGTATTATTCATTGTGAGAGGAACATTTTTTTTTTTCTAACTGCCAACATACCATATAATATAACGCCATTAATTCTAATGTATTCGTCAGACATCGTGACATTTATATCATTCGCGGCTCGAATAAAAATCAGGTGCAGTTCGTAATAAATGTTGTTAATTTATAGGTATTCCGCGGGACATCAAGGTAAATGCTCTTATGCAACAATGCTTTAATGGGATGGATTACAACATTTCCTTATTTTGTTTCGCTGCGTTTGCGAGTTTTTCTTCCAGCGATTCGTATCTCTAAGATGCGAGGTACATACCGAGATGCGAGGGGCAAATCACTCTTTGTAAAAATGTACATGTATTGCCGAATTCATATGATTTCCGCAATCATATGGCGATTTCTGGATGACTGCGGCGATTTCTAGATGACTGCGGCGATTTCTGGATGACTGCGGTGATTTCCACATGACTTCCGACAGATTTCCCGTGACTGCGGTGATTTATGTATTGACTGCAACGATTTCTCTATTGATTGCGGCAATTTCCCTATTGATTGCGGCGATTTACTCGTACGTATGGATTGTCAGTATTATTGCAAAATTGCACGCATTCCGAAGGATTTCTACGATATTGTATGGCTTACCAGTTGGTTTCCAGTAAAAAAAGCATTAGCTAGGTGTTTCATCAGAAAAACTAAATTTTGTATAGCGCATGTATAGGTGCTAAATACAATGCATTGATTTAAAACTAAGTGTGTACGACAAATTTATCAATAAATCAACTTTTTGTACGTTTTTTATTCATTTAAAAGATCAGTTTTAATTGATGTGATACCCGAAATATAAACTTCTATGTAGGTACTTACATGCCTCCATTATTAGATATCTTTGATATGCCTAAATGAACAAATAGGTACAGGTAAATAAAACAAGTTAAGTAATTAAGTAATTGGAGGTTTTTTATTTAAAAATTTCATAAAAGTGTTTTTTTAGACGTTTACAAATTTTATTGATGTTTGTTTCTAGTTTAAATGGACCAGATCCAATTGAATTGATGGATCCATAAAATATTAATTTATTTTTAACAATTTGAATGTCGTCTTTTTTTGGCCATAAATATTCTTCAAGTTCAGATTTAAAATTTTTTATTTTACTAGTGGTTTCATCAATTATTTGAACAATCCGACCTATGTACCACGACTCGTAAAGAATTGCGTAATATTGTTCGTTCCTAATTAAAATGCCATTGATATTTTTCTGGAGCAAAGTGTTTTCACCGGTAGTTTTTTCACTTTCTGTTACATCTTTGTCATTGTAGTTATTTGGTATTTTAGCTGTGTTTTTTCTGGACTTGTTTTTTTTTTTGTTATTTAGTACTGCTGAGGATGTTCCTTTTAAACGAGATAATCTGTCAGTTGAGAAGCGCCCGCCTTCAGTGGAAAATAACCAACAAAGAGCTGATTTTTTTACCTTCATTTTTTTGTTGTTCACAATTATGTTTAGAAATGAGGTATCAGAATCACTTTTTGTCTAGTAATTTCGAAAATCCTTTATATTAAGATCTTCCAATCCATAAAAAATGCTCTTTTCATTATGGAAACTTAAGTTTAAAATTTAATGTTTTTTACTTTATCCGTTTTTGATTTTTCTTTAAAATTCGAAATTTACACATTTTCTTAAATATCTCGAATACGGTCCATTTTAGAGAAATTATGTATAGGGCAAAAATTATAGAGAATTATAATACAAACAACTTTTATTTGAACAATTTTTATAAAAAAATATTTTTTTTTTACATTTTGTCAAATTTCTCGAATACGGACCAAATTTTGTATAGAACAAATTATAGATAATAATATTGTAAGTAACTTTTATTTGAAAAAATTTCTTCTCCAAACGTAAATAACAGATATATTCCATAAAATATAAAAATGATGACTATACCCTCCAAATGTTCCGACTCTGCCCAAAATCTAATCAGCTAATTGGACGCCGGAATAAAGCTTAAGTTTAAAATTTGGTGTTTCTATTTGTATCCGTTCATGAGTTATCGAGGATACAGACACACACACACAGACATCATCGCGAAAATAGTCAAAACAGATTCAGGATACCCCAAAAGATAAAAAACCGTCGAAAATTCGAGGTTGAAAAAAATCATGATTCCTATACTTTCCTTATCCGTAAACAGATAGAAAAGTAAAAATACATTTAAAACCCTAATTAAAACGTGTATCACCCCAACCCCCATAAAATACCAACAATTTTGTTATACATTAAAAAAAAAAAACTAGATGAAAAGGGACAATTTTCGACCACCTTGTAAAATCTTGTATACAAGTAGATTTAGTGTCTAAATTTATCCTAAAAAAACCTTTAAATTCCAAAATGTAAATTTAACTTAATAGTTCTTGCCTCAAAATGCACGGAAGGACCCTTTCGATAAATGTAAACTGCAATTTCTTTACACAAAATGGTTTAGATGGCTTAATCAAAGCACCCTACATCAACAATGGCTAATTAGTTAATGTCACCTTACTGCGCGCGATTTTTAACGATTGTTAGTGATTGCTCAGTGACTGCTAGAGAATTCGGGGGACTGCAAGGGAATTCGGAACGACTGCGAGCGAATTCGGAACGACTGCGGCGATTTCTTAGAGATTGTCACTGATTTTGATGAGACTGCGGCGATTTTCAATGGGATTGCGGACATTTTGTACACGTATTGCGGGAGTGATTTGCCCCTCGCCGAGATGTTTTTTATTAAGAAGATGGACATACAATTTGCTAGAATGAAATGTAGATTCTAATTCTTAATAGTGCTCTTCCAAAAATTAAGATACGGCTTTCGCATAGATCGACCAACAAATATGTCCAAGACCTTCACTGTGTAGCGTCCGTTTAAAAAAAAGTTCCTGGATAAGTCTGTTTCAGATTGAGACAGATCAGGGGTGCTAAAACGATCGATCGCAAATCATTATTAACTGTATTAGATTTTGTGGTGCATTATAATCAGCATTGCGAGGTCATGATGAAAACGAAGAATCTAAAAATAAAAGAGTATTCCGAGAATTGATAGATTTTAGTTCTCAATTAGAGATAAAAGAACATTTCAACAAAACAACAGTATTT